CATGGCGGTGACGTGTGTTGCCATGGCGACGGCCAGGCAGCGTCTCGCGCCGTGTTGGGGGGGGTGAGTGAGAAGGGGGGGGATGACAACAAATATGGCGGAGAGGAGCAGGACGGCAGAGACGGGTCAGTGCCAGCCGCAGTCGCCTGGGCGGGGGGAGAGAGGGGAAGAGCCCCCCCTTTCTCCAAGGGGCTTCTGGCTGTAGAGGGGCCCCGCCTCGCAGCGCAGGGCCGGGGACGGAGCCCTTCTCTCAGGGGAAAGGGAGGGAAGCGCCTGCTGGCCGAGGGCAGTGAGGTGCAGAAGGGGCCCGGGGCAGAGGCTCCTGCACAGGGAGCTGTGGAGGAGGGCGAAGAACCTTCCCTTGGGGGATGAGGAGCATGTCCCCGGGGGGGAGAGGTGATCGTGGGGAGTGCCCCTTCAGGCAGGGAGAAGGGGGGGAGCCCCCAGGCAGTCCAGCCCTGTCTGAGGGGGGGTTGCCCCATCTTGGGGAGGAAATCGAGAGGGCAAGAGCTCTCCTCACCCGGCAAACAAAATGTGGGGGAGATCCCCATTTGTGCAGAGGAAGAAGCCTGGTGGCTGGGTGGCCTGCACTGTGGGTCCTCCTCACTGCACAGGGGGCAAAGGTGGCGGTGGTGAAGAGCAGAGCAAAACGGTGGTGCATAGGAGTTCCCCTCACACAAGAAACCACGACCTGCTTGATTTAGAGTGAAAAAATAATATGTGAAGACACGGGGTTTGACTTGGAAATGCACCAGAAGGCTGGTAGCTTGGGGGTTGACCTGCAGGTGCTGTTTGACTTGTCCTGGTCAGTTTCAAGAACCTGGAGGCTGCAGAGAGGCAGCATGCAGAGCTCCTTACATCTCACATACCTTATTCCGTGAGGGTCTCTTTAAGGAAGGTGCCAAATAGTATTCTTCCTATTCAGGATCTATTAACCATGTCTTTCACTGTGGATGAGGAGATGAGTTTGTCAGTGAAATTGAAGGTTTATGTTTCCTTATGAATGACAAGTATCCTGCAGGTACAGGGGTCTTTCCTGTCATAACAAAACACAACTAAGATCTTTTCCAACCCATGTGAAAACAAAAGCCCCCAAAATAGCTTATGAAAATTAGAGATATTGACATTTGGAGGATGAAACAAGGATAATGACATTTTTTCTCAGTATTAAATATCCCATAGTGTCATACGTAAATTATCTGGGTTCCTGGACCAGAAGTTCATATTCCTAGTCTGCTGTGTTAGCTGCTGTGCAAATGCTTTTCAGCCTCAGAAGTGGCTTCAAATGAAGATGTATTATCCATAAAGCTGATTTTGGAATGAAGATGAAAAAAAGTGATAAATATGTGAAATGCTGTTGTACTCTGTGAATCAATGCCACAAAGGCTCCATCTAAAGCCATGTTCAGCCATGCTGTTTATGAACATCTGAAACCACACTGTAAAGTTTATTTTATGTTAAACTTGTCCATGAGGCAGGTGATTATTTTCATCCACTGTGTTGTGCAACACTACTAAACACAGCTGATGAGCTCTGACTGTGCTGTAAAAAAGGAAACAAATCTCCAGTGGCCATTTGAATGTCAGCTTTCCTACCTACTTCACCTACCTGTGCCTGTGCTGTTGTCGGTAACTTTCTTTAACATACAATGTAACTTTCCTACTATTTCCAGATAAGCACATAAACTTACTCTTACATTGTGTTCTCTGCTGGATTAATCTGCAGCCTTACAGTATTTGCTTTTTATTTTTAACCTTGTCCAGAACTATTTTCACATCTCACCATTGCAGCTAACCGATCAATGATTTTCTTATAAATGTTGTGTTTCAGCTTGTGCTGAAAATCATGTTTAGTTGCATGTTCCTGGTATATGTCCACTTAAGTTTGGCAGTGCCTGTCTGGCCATTTTGCAGATCTCAAGTTGCAGGTCCTTCTTTTTGCAGAAACCAGATGAGGAATTAAAAATGTAAAGAACCACAAAAATAGGAAAAAAACTGAAAACTTTCAGAGACGAGTGGGGCTTGGAAAGCAAACGTGATCTTGGCCTGTTTTTAAGAAAGGATGTGGAAAGTAGGCTGTGGAGAAAAAAAGGTGGGGTGGTTTGGGGTATTATTTTTTTTGCCTTTTTCCCCATAAACTTTGGATTTTGACTGTCATCTGACACTAAGGGGACAGACAGGTTCTTTTAGGGATCCTTGGCAGATCCCCTAAGGACCATATTTGTCCCATAGTGCCAGAAGACACAGACACTCTTGATGTGCATGTTGCATAACTGGGGATTGTTTTTTTGTTCTTGCTGCATGCTGGCTTCTTAGTATGTCTTCATGGTATGTCACATCTGGACTAGGCTTTAGGAGATACAGAAATCTAGCTCTGGAACCTGCATTTTGCAGAAATTTAAATTTTTATATATGGATGCAAGGAGAATAAAGCCATTATAAAAGGACCGAATATTGTTCAAACCATATAAATTGATTTAACCAGTATGACTATATTATACTTGCCGTTTTGTTTTTTACAGCAGCATCATGGTTTTATTCCTGGATCAGAAAACAAAAGTAATAACTATGTCTTATCTTACCATCTTGAAATATTGATTGTTTTTTGTAATTTTTAAATGAGAAAACTGAAGGTCATGGTTTCAGATGAGATGGAGTTACAGAGAAATTAACGGTAACTTATCCATGCTTTATAGCAACACAGATTTCTGTTATGGGCCATTTTTTACTGGTTTAATTCACTAACTTGTGTTTGATAAGAGTCAGTGTCAGGGAAAGATGTCAGAAAAAACATAATGTGCACTTAGAGAAAGTTGATTCTAAAAATTCTTTCTTCCTAAATACTATCTAATACTGAATTATGTAAATCTAAGATGCCTACAGCCCCTCTAAACTCTTAGCTTTGAAAATATACTGTATCAAGAGGTTTTATGAATTATACTTTATGGAAAACATACCTTTTTGTAATGTAAGAATTTTTCATTTCAATTTTATTACTATGTCCTTATTCTTCTGTTATAGGAAAGTAAATCTGTAAATCTTTCTTACACTGCTAATTATACATATTATTTCCATATATACTAATTTTTTCATATTTCCATTACTTTTTTGTGTAGAATGTTTTTGTTTCTGTAGTAGTTTTTGCAAATTTTTAATTTTTTTTTTTGTTAGGGGGATGAAGACACACAGAATTGCACAAAGTACTTCAGAAGGGGGACTACTATCAGTTTTTATTTTACTGTTACGCTCAGCATTATTTTCTATATCATGATTTAAGACAATCTGTGTGTTTCAAATGAGATTGAAACTTAATATGCAAGGTAGATTATCTCACATCTGTGTACTACGGAGCTCATATTCTGGTGCCATCTTCTCTGAAGTAGGCAGACATCTGGTCTGATCCATTAAAATAGTTTCTTTGTTCTGATGTTTGGTTAGAGTGCTGCAAATCAACTTGCTTTACCCTGGATTAATCAATCATTTTCCCATTGTAATTGGCTTCTTAGATCTAACTGGTTTCTTGAAACTGCTCAGATCAGCTTTCTGCAAGAAACCGTAGGCTTGTATGCTTCCCTGTTTGGGTTTCCAGGCTGAAGCCTTCACGTCTCAAGCTGTAAATCCAAATTAAAAACAACTTAAATCTTCACAAATGAAGTCTGCTGGAGGATGGAGGTGATTCAGACTAGTTTGAATCACCAGGAGCTTCTTGGTTTGACTTCCAGTTGTTCCACTCAGCTGACCTTGATGTCTCAAACCTGTGGAAGATACATGACACAGAAAGACATCCAGTTTAGTTTCTTCAAAAACAGATCAGTGTTATTTTTCCAATTCTGTAGCAAAGAGGACCGTATTAACTTCTCTAAGGAAGGTTTAGGCATAGGTCAAAGTGAGTACAGAAGACCTGTATTTGCTAATTTTTTTGACCCATGAAGGTATTTAACTTTCCAGATGTGGATCCATCTAAAATTTCACTAGTTACCTCCTTCTCCCCAGATTACTCTTATTCTTCTAGGCATCTGTATTACCTTCAAAAGACTTGTTTCCAGAGGCCTGAATGATCAAAGGGTGAAGGTTATCTCTGAGTTCTGTAATAGTTTTCTATCTGAGGCAGATGAATATTAGCTTGGATTGACAGTTCTAATATGTGTTATTCCAGAGTTGATAGTAATTTTGTGGATATTAGTATTTCTGATATTTCATTGAGTCATCATCACTGAAATCATAGTGAAAGCAAAAAAATGACATTTACTCACTGTACTGGACAGGATATAAATATATGTCTTTAGATCAAAGATCCTTGTTATCAGAACAAACAGATTTCCCAGTTTTTCATGTTTATTTACATGTCATGATAGATACCTCACAGAGTGATGTTAAGTCACATTTCGTATTAAGAATGGTTAGAATTTTCAAAAGCATTCATAGCCAGACTGAACCTGGCTTCAAGGAGGAGAGCTTCAAACCACTGCTGAATGCTGAACCCCCATTCAAAGGTTGCAGAGTAATTAACATTTCTAAAATATTTAGTGTTGAGATCATTATTTCAGAGATCTGCATGAGGAGAACCCAATAAAATAGCTGTGTAAATTTTGCCTTATTTTCTAATTGATTTTAATATGATAGTGTTGAGATAGGGTATTTTGAAAGATAGCTTTTGATTATTCTTTCAAAAAAGAATATGGATTCTTTTAAAAATATTTAATCACATATGGTATGAACACATTCTAGTATGAAATAGTAAGACAACCTAATTTATTTGTCTTTAAGTATAGGCCTTTTTGACAACTGGAACTTCTCATACACTGGCTTTATCATGAGGAAATTTAAAACAGGAGAAAATAGCTCATTACTTTAACAATATTATTTAA